AACAGATTTTTAACTATTTCTCAATTGGTGTGGATGCAGATCTTCCATCCATAGTTCCCTCATATGTTTCATATATCTCTTGTTCTTTGCAGTAGCATTCTGTCAATTGGGGGGGGGGGGTTTGTCTCATTCATGAATGGTTTGTTCCAATAGCCCACTTCCTGTCAGGTTGTCCCAATTCTCCAACATTTGATGCAGAATTTGTTAATCTGGGCAATGTTCAAACCACCAAGACTGGTTTATGTCTGGTGAAAGATTAGGAGGTCTCAGCCTAAGGACCATTACTGGTAAGGTAGATACTGGCCAGGATTTGAAGCCCGAGACCTTGAAGAAGATGGTAACTTCTATGTTGTCCTGATAATGGTCTTAAGATTCAGAAAAGCAGATTCCACTTGGATGCTAGGGAAAACCTTCTAAAGTGTGATAATTATAGCAAAGAAACAAGAATCATGGAATAAACTATTATTTAGGAAATCGTGTAGTTGAAGGGAGAAATCCTTGCTGCTGAAATCCCATATGTGTCTCGCATTTCATTATTAAGTTTCCATCAACTTTCAGAATGTTTACTCTTCCCAGAAAATATTTTTAAATAAAGAGGCTAAAAGTTGATTAATATACTTTACAATGCCAGTTACCATATACATAATACAAATGTTCAGTTTTCCTAACACATTGATTTTTTTAATAAAACGATGGAATAGTCTGGAGACTATGAATGCTAGGCTCTATGCCATATTTCAGGTTTCAGATTCCTATTAGAATAAGTGGGATTGTTCTTCAAAGCTTTCTGCATGAACAGTACAAGAAGAAAACATTAATATCACAAGCCTCAAAAAATGTATCATTTCAGAAGAAAGGTCAGCTTCCACCCCCACTTCTCATGCACAAATGCCCACGTGCACATTCAAGTGTGCCCCAGGGCTATAGCAAAGCTTGATAGATGCTGAGATAGAAGTGTTTTGATAGAGGTAATTTTCCTCAGATGGGTTTCAGCACCCCATGAATCAAAACCTGTCAGTGAGGAGCTAAGGATGGAGTGAAGTTTATTGTAACATGTTTGCATCTGACACTAGTATGCTAGGGGGTCAAGTGAGGGAGATCATTAGAACCATGTTGATTTAGTGGGATTGTTACACACTTTCCCTTCAGGCAGCGAGTGGGGGCGGGGTGATTATAAGGGCTCACTAGAAAAATAAATAAAAAGCTCACTACAGCCCCTTCTGTGCCCCATTATATATGTTCATTCATTTAAAGTTGTGGTTTGGCTATTTTTTTCTTAAATGTTCTTTTGGCTTTGACGATACAACACAGTTACCATCCTTGACCTAAACAAATGTGGTTTGGGAAAGATTAATGCTATATTGAAATATATGTAAAATACATGTTTAGTTTTGATAAGCATTTCCATTACATTGTGTATATTTTCCTTGTAGAGTTGGAAATAACCAAACATTTAATGTTGGTTGGTTGGTTATACCTGCAGATTAATCTTTGTTGAAGAAATACATTTTATTCATATATATTCATATATTTTAATGGCAGTACATACACAGTAGCTCTGTAAAATAAATAAAAAGGATACTATATTTCACTTTTTATATCCATTTACGAGCAAACAGAAGTATGCTATATAAAACATCCCTTAGGAATGCCATTAAATACAGGCAGTGCTTTTCCCTCTCCTTTGTTTCATCTTTTTCCCTTTATTTTAAAGTACCATATGTCTTTGTTAACTTAATAAGTTATCAATTAGAAGAAAACCCTTTAAGCAGGAAATATCAAAGTTAGATTTGTATGTAAAGTAACGACCTTTATCTGCATAAAACAGAGATGCACAACCTGAGATCAAGAATTGTATTTTTCTTCCCCGGGTTCCCCAAACGTTATTATTGGAGATTAATTTCTTTAGCTATATTTATTTTTTAAAAGGTTGAAATGTAAATCAAAAGAAACCAAATTTGGTTTGTTTTTTTCCCCAGCAAATACTTAATAGTTTTCAGAATGCTCTCCCTTGTCCCCACATATCTCTCAACAATCCACTGTTTTCCTGACTTAGAAGAAATCCTTTGGGATATATTGTTTAGCATAATGAAACTAAATGTACGTATTTTTGCCCTACCTTAAAATTAAAAAAGGCAGTTTCTATTGTTTGGGCAGTTAGATAGGTTTTTTTAACAAAAAAACTCTAAATAGAAAACGTTTCATTATTCTTTTTGGCATTCTTAGCCAAACTATTATAGGTCCCAAAATATTCTATGTCATATCTAGAAAGACTAGCCTAGAGATCTGTCTATATGGTCACTAAGCATTGATGCTGACTTGACAGCACATAGTCAAATCAATTAATCTATGAAAGTTAAGTATTAACTTAAAATAGAAAATACATGTTGTTATAAACCTGGGACAAATAATTTCAGTCTGGAATTTCAGCTGGATTATTTGAAGCAGAAATATCCTAACCACAGAATATTTTGATGGTTCCTGGTTTGGGCCAGAACAAAATCTGCAAGAATTTTATAGGACAAGTTAGGCAAGGCTGGTGTTTCACATAATCTTTCCAATTGTTTTCCATTTGGATTTTTCCTTTTTCTAACTTCTGTTATTCACTGCCAGTATCCTGGAATTCCAACACAATATATCCAATGCCACTTGCTTTCTCTACCTCCATTTAGTTGTTCCTTTTCCCCTTGATTTCAAGTACGGCACATCTAACCTATATAGACATCACTTCCCAGCAGCTTCATTTCCCTTATCTCCCCTTGGTTGCTATTACTATTGAATTCAAGAGTGGTATATCCAATCTATTTCTCCCCCCCCCCCACCTTTCCAGCTACTGCTTTTGCCTAGTTCCACTTCAATACTGCTGCTAACCTTGCTTACTTCCCATGGATCCCCAACTCCAAAGCATTTATGCCTAGAACATACTTTTCAGTTTTGAATTACATATGCATAATATTTCAGTCCCGATTTGGACCTCCCCCTCAACTAAATAATTTTTCTAACATTGAAAAATAAAATCTGATGAAGATGTTGACACAGAGTTAAGACAGGAGCCATTCCAAAGATAGAAGTGTATAGAAAGGATTTATACCTGTTCATATACATTGTTGCTATTGTCTGAATCCCATGAGAAACTGCTGGATTTTAATTAAAATTTTCAGTTGTTACTATTACTGTGACTGATTAAGATGTTACAATTAGCAAATTTGAACTTAATTGCTGTAGTGTTGTTATTTAAGGAAATAGTCAACATAGCAAAGACAATGCTGACCCTTGCTCATGATGTAATCAGCACAACTTTGCTGATAAAAGTTGCATAATGTATCAGTGATATGAGTGAGTTTATGAGCTAATTGGTTGATAAGTGTCATTTTGCCCTTTTTTATAAATAAAGTCAATTATTAGGATGATTAAGTTCAATCAGAGAAGATATTTGCATAGATGAAATATGAAACAAAGCAAGCTTTATATAGTTATATAGTCCTGATATTTCATCAACGTTTAGTGATTTAGTGAAGACCTGGCTCTGTTGATTAAGGAGCCACTCTGTGAAATAAGCAGTCGTATAAGTTCAATCAATAATAAATACATAAAATTGTAATATAACCTAGCCAGTGACATATATCCATAATGGATATGGGAAGTTTTGCATTCAAGTGAGATTAATGAGCCAAGCAAATAAAATTAAGCATTTTATGTGGTTACATTTCCATTTCCATTCCCATCCTTTCCTTGACTCTACTTACTTCTAAGCCCCTCATTACTAAATTATCAAATAGGATAGGGAGAAGATTGAAAATACCCTGTATGAACTGGTGAGCAAAATTAGAGAAGGAAAGCAAAGTAATTGGACAATCTTGTAGAGCTGAAAATAGCACAAGAGAATTTATATGGCAAATGGATGACATAGAAGCTCTTAAAGGTTAATAGATGGCCTTGATTATTACTGTTAGGCCAAAGCCACAAACATGGTTAAAGGTTAAAAGAATAAAAAGCCCCAGGCTTACAGGAAAATCAGCTGAAGAAATCCAAAGAACCCACACCATTTATTTGCTCACTCAGGGTGGAAAATAATTGAAACAGAATTTATGAAGGCAAGTTAAGTGCCATAGAAGTCATCTAATGCAAATGCTTTCAATAATGGTAGCAAATGGATTAAATTAAAAATATGACCTGCCCAGAAATAAATTTCAGGTGCGCTATTTCTCTCATTCTAATTATTTCTTTCATGTCCTGAAAATCTTAATGATCAGATTTTGTTAAGTAATTTCTAAAGTTCTGCAAGTTTTATTTGTACTAAAATAAAAAAATACATCCTCTATTTTAAGGAGGTTTTTTTTCTGTAGTTAAAAATGTTATAAAAGCACTTTATGCTCTCCATTGCTATATATAATTTCCTATCTTTAACAAAGTCCTAAAACACCTTAAACCTGCAAAGAAAATGATATGCTTTTAGCTTAAATTCTTAATTTTAGAGGAAAGTCAGTCTATATTTTAAAAATTATTAGTTAATAGGTCAAACTATTATCAACTTCTTTGGTTTAATAGGTGAGTACTTTGGTCCTGCTGTTGCCTGTGGATTAAAAGAAGCACAATAATATTAGGTGCTTGCAACATTCATTTCAATTTCTTTTCTTTTTTCCTTGCGGCTGTAAATAGCTAGGCAAGAGGAATTAGCATTGTATTACACATCATTGTCTCTTTCTAGTAGCAACTGACATTTTCATTGATTCTGGATTTAGCATAAAGTTTTTAATTACTAGAAAGACAATCAAAGTAGAAGGAACTTGATTAATCAGCAGCTCTGGCTGTTTCTGTGATCAACATCTTATAATTGTATATTGTCTATATTGAGAATGTCTGTTTAATGCATGCAATAACAGGTAGTTGTGAATATTCTTCTATCAATTGTTTGAACCTCCAGGTAGCAAAATAAGATGATAGGAATTAAAATTATTCTATTGGTCTACATTCAAATGTGTTACTCTCTTTCTATATAGACCGAAGATGATGAAAAACTAAAAAAGAGAAAGGAGAGGTTTGGCATTGTTACAAGTTCAGCTGGAGCAGGAACTACAGAAGACTCAGAGGTAACATTTGTTATAACATCTTGGGCGCTGATACTTTTTGTAATTGAAATAATGTCAGGCACTCCACAAGATGGCACTGTGTGACTCTTATGCTTTTCTTTGCCCAGTCCCCATAGTCCCATTCAATTATTGTATACTAACTTAAATATAAATAATTTTGGATTATATCAGAAATTTTCTTTTTTCTCTCTTTAAAGATATTTTCATATTATTGCTCTGCTGGATAATTTTTGAAGAACAAAATAGTTGGAATTTCCTGTCATTAACTTCTACAATAGATATAAAACTTGGAATAGTTTAGTTTTATCTTGTATGTCTACCCTTCTGAGTTGTCCAGTTAGTTATCAACATAGATGATTTCGAATTAGGGGTTGAAGATCCAGACTAATTTTCTATCCATTGTAGAGCTTAAAAAGTGCTTTTTAAAATGTGGGATTTATGTATATCACGTGGCATGCATGCAAGATTATTTTATTGTCTCTTCCACTGTTAGAAAAACACTGCTACTGCTTTTATCTTTTTGTAAATTCTTGATGACAGGAATCTGCCATTACGTTATCAGACCTATGATTCCTTCTATTCAAAGTATGCAGGGTTGTTGTTGTTATTTTTGGTTTAGCAACTTTGTTTTTGGGTTGATTGCACTATTAAGATTTAATCTCGTCCACAAGTAGTTCTCTTGCTAAACTTTAATTTCACTTACAAAAGGGAACAATATTTGGATATTGGATTGACCCTGAGTGAGAAAGTTTATTTTCATTGGCACCTTCTGTGGGGTGCTTTTTGTTTTCCCTAGATGCAACGCAAGCATTGCTTCACAAAATGAAATAGCAGCTGTAGAATGATCTGCCTGTTCAGTTGGAGTGAAGGGGGTGGCTGGGCTGTGGTCTGAGGGATTCCATGCTTTTCCGTTAGGGCACTTAGTGAGTGTGCCTGAAACAAAAAGCTCTTTTTCTAGTATTGTATGTACTAAATGACACCTTTTCCCTGGAGATTCTTGATTAGGACTTGTGTTGCCCGCTAAGCTATTTATCGTGGTAAAAATTAAGATTTATATGCCCCTGGTGTATTGACTTAGAGGCATATCTCAAAGATGCATGAGTGTATTCAATGCATTTGACTGTGTCCCACTCGCCTTCTCTGTGAATAGAAGAGTGTTAACCCTTTGGCCTTTTACATTTCCCACCTCCTATTGCTTAGAAGGCTTTCTAAGCTTGTAAAATGGTAATTGTTCCAAGCAAAACTTTCTCATATAAACCAGCAGGATGAAGCAACTAACAGGTCACTGTATCTCATGCTTTATAGCTTAATTTCTGACTGTAGTTGGATGCCCCCATTGCAATAGGAGTGCCTCTTGTGAAACCTGATATGAAAGATGCTTTCTTAGACATATACTGTTACACTCCTTATAGACTTTCTGTTTTTCTTTATGCCAAAACCCATACTCAGAGTTGCCATTCCCTTTGGTTTTGACTTTTTTTAATTCATCTTTTAATTCCTATTTACAGGCAAAGAAGAGAAAAAGAGCAGAACGTTTTGGCCTTGTCTGATGATCTTCTTCTTAGTATTTACTTGTTCAGGGTGTATGTTTTAAACATTCTTCCATCTCTAAGGAAGAATACAGTTTCTCCCTCACACACATTTTGACTTTGTATTTCAAAGCTAGCTATTGAGTTGTGCTGTTTGCACCTACCCCACACTCTTTCGGACCAGAAAAGTACAGAATAAAATATTCTGTTTATGTATGTTGTAACCAATTTGGATCTAATAGGTTTTTTTTAGCCATTTGTATGCAAAGTACACATTGCTTCTTCTTTTTGGAGTAGAGGCAGCTCTGCAAAGGGATTCCCCAACTACTATGAATTGTCACCTTCAGCTCCATTTAAACTTAATCAGTAATTGGGCACGCCTTGCATTTTTAGGTAGGCATTCATTGCCTAGGCATTTCAAATTTTCTATTAATTTTAGCTAAGAAATATTTTTTCTTTCATTTATAAATTCCAATCATAAAGTCAATCAGTTTCTTCTGATTACTCTTAAGCCTAGATTTTATTAAAAAGTGAAACATTTTCTCCTTGGAGTTATATGTTTACTAAATATTGAAGCTGATGAAGTTATGGAATTTTAAGATGGATCTTGCATTATCCTTTGCTAAAATATAACTTTTTACATATTGTTCAATTACAGTGTATGAGTGGCCCACAGAATAAAACAAATTGCATCCCAGTGTAAAGGTAGTAAAATTGTCATGTTCATAGCTAGACAACTTCCTACTACTATTCATAGTAAACCTTTAGAACTATGCCTCAAAACTTTTAAAATTTGTCACGAATACAGAATTTCCTCCGTTAAAAATAGTACCAAAAATTATAAAAACAATAGGCATAAAATGATTACAAAATATTATATTCATGTTCAGCTTTTTAAAGCTTTAAATTCATAGTTGATTTTCAAATACAGTGTTCTATGTTTCTCTCTGAACTGAATGTATTTTGAATATCTGATGCTTGGTGTTTCAATTTATTAAAGACAACTACTTGGAGAAAACTTCTTGCCTTTTACATTACTACATCCTATTTCATGATAAACAAATTATTCATACCAGCTTTAGAAATTGAATGCAAGTGTAGGTGAGTAGGAATATATTTTTGGGTGATTTTGTCTTCATCTAAATGTATATCTCTTTTTTAAAACTAAAAATAGACTAAACAAATATTAATTTTTATTGCAGATCTGTATCATCCTTCATAGAAAGAAGATGTTAGGACAGTCTGTATTTTAAAAACAATCTTAATGATTTATGACAGGTTTTATACAGTTACTGATTGACTTTTGCTTTGAATGGTAATAGGTTTGGCCTCTTTGGGAATTTTTTTTACCCTTTTTTTTTTTAAAAAAAGATGATTTTCCACATATACTGTATCTCATAGTTAATTCCTTTTGTCTGAGTACATATATACATACATACATACATACATACATATATA